AAAACGATATCTGCAGAAAATGTTCCTAGTTTAAATATGGCTTAGGGATGTTAGCTGAGCTCGTCTAGTACCAGATCTGTTGGCAGTGTAAGGTCTGGGTTCTTACAAGTTAGGCCATGCAGGTGTCATCCAGGTGTATCAGCAGCTCTTAGACACAAACTTTAGCATAAGGTCACCACGTTTTAGTGCAGGTAATTCCAGTTCCCTTCTCATGAGTTTGGGTGGCTGTTGAGATTTGCATTAATATATTCATTTGTTAGAATAATCTGTCACCCCACTCACATGCCAAATGGATATTGGTTGATGAAAGTGAGAAGCAACTGTTGCTTAAGCCACCAGGTCAGGACAGACATTATGTGGGACAGTGGCAGGGGAAGAATGAAACTGAACCTGAATTCACAGAAAGTGATATGAACGACTTTGAGCGTTGCATCCTGACCACCAGCAGCGTGCCTGACTAGAGAGAAGGTTCCTCTCTGTAGTAAAGATATGTGAGTAAAGATTAAACGAAACCTGTGCTGAGATGTTGTTAATTAGTGATGAAGTGGGATGCCACTAGGTATGCCTTCAAGAGAGAGATAGGATCTCAGATCTGGAAATGACTTGGGTAACATGAGACTGTTGAAATACGTCACCTTCTTAGAGACTAAAGTGCTTGAATCGGGGACAAACAGATAAGTAGACATGTGAAGATCTCATTTCTTCTGTGTGGTGGGACCTCTCTCCCTTTTGAAGGCAAGCAGGCGTGTTCTCTTGTTCTGATAACCACGTGGGTTTCATTACCTGTCCAGCCCTGGCATTTTACAGAGCACTCTACAAGGACAATGTGATGCCCCATGTGAAGGAAGGCTTTCGCTGTCTGGACATGCCTATCAGACCCAGGTTGGGTGGTTGTTGTACGGGCACAACAGGCTGTGTTGGGTAACACACTGCACCTGAGCTCTCGCCTTCCCTGTCTGTGCGGTGTGTAAACACAGTTACAAGTAATCAAGTAGCTAATTAAATCCTTACATGTAAAGTTAAACGTGTTCTAATATTGAGGTCAGATAGCTATTTCAAGATCACAACAGCTTTAAATAGATGGTAAGGCTGGAGTAGTAAGCTGGAGTAGACTGCTGGCGTGCATCTTGGCGCTCTAGTTCTGCTTCTGTAGGAATAACAGCCCCGACTTTATTATTGCTAACTAACGAGGAGGAGTGAATAGCAGCTAACCCAGTATTGGTGTCAGCTTTGTTAAACATCTAGAAAGGAGTGGAATTAACTAAGCTACTACAAGGCAGTAGTCTAGCAACAATTAGCATGAACCTTGTTAAACGTTTTAAGAACATTAATGAGCTCACCTAGAGACCTGAATTGTCATTTCATACCTGCTTCTTTTCCAGTGGGATCATTTTTAATAGAAATAAAATGTGATAATAATAACCTCAAACTGTCTTTTTAAGGGTAGAATATTGGATTTTATGACTTCTGAGGAAATATATTGGCAATACTCTTCAGCTTTTGATTGCTAGTGAGAACACCAACACAATCTATCTTATCTAAGTATGAACTTGAATTCTGGGTTCCTGTGGGCTTTGCGGGACTGAACGCTCACTTTTGTTCTCCCAGCCCTCCTTTTCCATTTCCCTTTCAGGACTGTTCAGATGATCCCATTTGTAGGATTTTCCAAAGACTAAATAAAAAAGGAATTTGAACAATAAGCCCAACTTTTAATTAAAGCCAGTTACTCAAAGTGCCCAAAAATACTTTGTTGACTTAATTTCCATTTACTTTGAGTATAGACTTTTAAAAAAGAAATCACAATATCGTTATAAAAACAGCTCTTGCAGCCAACACTGACTATCTAGGGAGCTGTCTTGCCAAGACTGAGAGCTTCACTAGACCATGTATGTTTGCATAATCAAAGTATTAGCAAGACGGTATCCCGTTCTGGAGCCTTTTCTATGTAGTCTGTGGCTGCCACTGCTGTTTGTTCCCAGAAACTGTTGTCTTTTTTAATGTGTAAACTAGTTAATTTATTTTTACATTGCTTCTGTTGTGTTTTAGGGAATTAGTTTTAACAACACTCCGCTCCACATTTTTCAATTTAGGGCTTCTGGAAGGAAGAGACTTGCCAAATATACAACTGACTGGCAAAAAGTGAAGTTCTGTGTGTGGTCAGTTTCAAATTAAATATAAATGGTACAATGTTATTTAAAACTTCCAGCTACTCTTGAGAGTTCCCCCCCTACACCCTTTATTCTTGAAATAATTAAACCTGATACATTTAACCCATGTTTGATGGGGAAAATGAGGCTCAGAGTCTGAGGAAAGTAAATTGGAAGTTTGAGCATGGAAGGAGCAGTAGATACAAACCCTTGGCTCTTCCGTAAGTGTGCCGGAACACGGGGGAAGCTTTTCAAAAGGTCAGTGCTGAATAGCAAACGGCTGACATGCTCAAATGTTTATCTTACAGCTCTCTCTGCTTCTCATATATGACCTGCGAGAAGTGTTCTTGCACTTCTGAGGTTTTTGTTTGTTTGTTATACAAAGTAGGTCTGTCTGAAAGTAGAATTCCTTTTTTTTTCTTTGCTTTCCCCTTTTTTTTTTAAAAAAAAAATCTTACAAAACATAGCAGTACAGACTTCTATACTGCTGAGCTGTTCTTTGAGGGCTCCTGCAAACTCAAGAGTCCTGGGATTCTCAGGAGCCCATTACTTGCTCAGTGATCTGTTGTGTTTTCAGGAAAACCAAGATTTGAATTGCTGTTCCTCCTCATACAGAGCCCACGCTTTTTAGAACAGCTGCTCTTATTTTATTCACAGAAAAGTGAAAAAACTCTGATATTTCCTCCTCCCCTCCATAGAGATTTTCTTATTCTTGAAGAAGTGAAAGTACCTTTCTGAGTTGCAAACTGGCCAACAGTTCTGAAGGCTACACCTTCCGAAGCGTTACTTATTGTGTGCAGTGTTAAGTAATACAGGAGAGAGACATCAGTGAAACTTGGGCAGTAGGTTTTAGGTTGCTGTAGGCTGAATAAATTCATTGCTTTGTATCTCTGAAGCCAGTATTTTCCAAAGCTGTTAAACTAACATGCCAGTTCTACAAGATGCAACTTGTCCTTGGGAAGGAACATGTTGGAAGGTGTCTACAGGGCCCTCCTCTTGTTAATAGCCATCTGGGCCAGCTTGAAGCAACTTCAACACACTGCATTGGAGTTGTACGTGCATGATTCAGCTCTCTGTTGCAGATTAAAAAGGGACAATTACTCAAAATCTGGCCCGTTCCATAAGAAAGTGCAAGAACTTATTTTCCATTTGGGATCTTCGTGTATTAGCTGAAAGCAAAATGACAGCTCGCACCTCTGGCCCTTCTTGGATCTGTCATGTGCATTTTGTCCAGCAACCTTCAGAGTGGGAGGTAAGCTGTCTTCCCGGTGCCTCTCTTGGTGGGAGGTGCTGCAGTCATCCCACCCTTGGATCGAGCCCTGGATTTCTAGTGCCTTGACATGGCTAACTCACCTTAGCAGACCTCACCTTAAGTAAGGCCTTATCTGTCCTCCTCAGTGCAGAGGACCACTTGATTAGAAGAACCAAATCCTTGAGGAGCTCTGCTAAACAGCAACAGCCTGTGCTGCTGCCTCTGTAATTCAGCGTCTGTCTGTCTTCCTCTGCTGGAATTCCCTGAGAAAACTCCATCTCCCAGCGAATTCATCTGCAAAGCCTCTGTCAGCTCTGCTTCCCATGGGAGGTTTCAGGCGAAGGCTGTGGACAACCCCTGACACCTTTTCTTCCTCGGAGAGCCCCTCCAGCGCTGCGAGGTCTCTTGCCTGCCAGCCCCGCAGCTCGGCTGCCGTGCTCTGGCCTGGAACCTGCGTGTCTGACGTTGCTTTCCAAGTGTTTTCCAAGTTGTCTTTACGAGATCTATTGTGGTGTTTTCCTGTTTACTTCTGCAGCCCTCCGCTGTGTTTAAGCAGTGTGGTTAAGTCAGGAACTTCTGTCCCTAACACGCAGTGATTTCCCTTCGCTGACCCCGTTGCCTGCAGCGCTCTGTGCAATAGCTGCACTTCAGCACTCGGCGTGCCGCGTCCGCGCTGCCTGTCGCAATCGCACAGCGTATCGGGAGCGGTTTGATCCCAGGAGGAGAGGCAACCCTTCCCTGCCTTTTTGTTAAACCACCCATGGAGGCCCGATGGGCAGGCTCTGGTGAGCCCTGCTGCAGCACTGCAAGGTGCTGGAGCTGGAGCCAAGCAGAGTGTGCCATGCTCTCTCCTCCTCTGCCCACACCAGGAGCTGCTGCTCCATCCTCCTCCTCCTCACCTTCACCTTTGAGACTCCGCACTTTGCACTGGCATACGTTGGGTTCTGTGGCCTCCGCTGCAAGAGGGTCACCTTTGGCAGGGAAGTGGGGCGGGTTTTACTTTAAACTGGTGTGCGGAGGCTTGCCAAGGCTCGGTGGTGTGGTGGGAGGAGGATCTGGAAGGAAACATGAGTGTGTACCCTGAGCTCTGACTGCCTCCACCTGTGGAGAAAATCACATTTTCGTAGGAGTGTTGCCTGAAGACTTTGAGCCCCCCATTTTGCTAACTCTTCGCTGTGGCTAATACCCATTTAAAAGTAAAAAAAAAGGTGTAAATTTAACATTGCAAAGCCTAACTGATATCCAGTATTCTACCCTTAAAAGCTTTTCACGATCAAGATTAGAATCATCAGTCCATCTTGATGGTTTTAATATGTGGTCGAGAAGTTACCCGTCTTACGCTGGCATCCAGTTACGTCATTCCCCATAATCTTTCTCTTGGTTTTTTTTAGCCTTGTTGTTCATAATTTCCTTTCCAAGTGTTTCTTTATTTGAAATGCCATTTATATTTTGTTGCCTTTTTTTTTTTCCAGCACATCTTACATCTTTGTTTTTGTTTTGTTTTTAATCTTACTTCTGGCATTTTCCATCGCTCTGTGGCCATGATTGTGGATATGTTTGGGTTTTTGCCTGCCTTGCTGTTCTCTCGCTGCACTCCCTAGATCCCTGTTGCACAGTCCTCTGTCATGGATGACATTGAGGAGTGGCTCAGTACCGACTTGGTGAGACTCTTTATATTTTCATTTTTCACATGCGCAATAGCACTTGTACAGATGACATGCAATGCATTGCTGAGTTACTGGTGCTTCTCGGAGCGGGAGGCAGTGAAACTTCCCAATCTTATGGCTTATTTCCCTTTGAGGGGACTACCTAAGCAGGAGGAGATAGGGTCGTGTTTGGCAATTCAATCAAAACTTTTTTTTTTTTTTGTGAGTTGTTTTATTTTCACTTCTTCATGTTAACATTACGGAAAAGCACGTGTTCCAGAAATCGTGTGTTTCTGGAGCTGTATAGGAAAAGCATTTAAACATATGCTGAAGTTTCCCTGTGTTCTCCACTGGACTTAAAGCACATGTTTAAGGCTACATGAACTTCGTCATGATCTACGTACATGCTTACGTTGAGCATGCTTTTAAGAGATGCTGGATCAGGGTGTAGATTCCTTTCAAATCGAGATGTCTCTGTTAAATTGGCAAGCAATCTTGACGTGTTTCATAATAGTAATAAAAAAAATTTATAACAGTCTCTCTTCAATGTTTGTAAGTTTCAGTTTCTCCTGAATGATTATTGTCTGGTAATTATTAAACAAACAAACAAACAAACAAAAGACAGAACTAAAAGTAGCTTTTCCTTTATCCTGGAGTTTGTTTTGCTGTACCAAAGCACGTTTGGTTTAAGCAGTGGTACAGCTAGTACGCCTTTATTCCAGTCTGTTTTTTTAATGTAAGCATCTGACTCAAATGAACCAAGTGCATTTTGGAGACGGGTGGTGGGTTGTGTTTCCGACTGTTCTTTTAAACATGGTTTTAGTGAACTGAACTGTTTCCTTGTGGTCACCATATCCCTAAGGATCATCTCCTTCCATTACTTCTTAGGACTTCAGATATTGTCCCTAGATAACTCTCTACTCCTGAAGGTCTCCCCCAGCCCCTTACTCTTGCCTGCCCAGCTCCTAGCTGGGAGCTGTGGGGCTCAGGCTCCGCTCTCCGGCTCTGGCAGCAGTGCTGCAGGCACGCTCCGGCACGTCAGCCGTCCGCTCCGGCACCAGAGGAGCTGACTCTACTGAAAGGAAGAAGATGCTCCTGCTCTCCAAAGCCACCCGAAGTGCTTAAACAGATTCTGAGTTTCAGTGTTCCAGTTTGGCAGGCTGGCTGGCTGTCTTTGAAACACTGGTTTTCAGCTGCAGGTAGTTTTTTCAGGCCTCAGTGCAGGCAGTCATTTTCACATTTAATTACAAACTGACCTCATTTTGTTAAAGAAATACAGTAAACGTAGCATGTCCACTCTGCTTAAACCATAAACTTTTGTCTTTGCCATTTAAAATAATTTAGCAGGAGAGGAGATCTTACGGAGAGATAGCGAGGTAGCTCTGTACATCCATCATCCCCCAGATAGTCTTGCTCAAAAAGAGCAGAGCAGAGGAGTGCTGTGTAAATCCCTGAACGAGGCTGGGGGTCGCACGCATTGCAGACATGACTGCCGGCTTCCCTTCTCCCGGGTACCTGGGTCCCCATCCTGACCGTATGTGGGCGCGCCATAAAGATGCCCCCTGAGAAAGTCTGGACGGGATTTTTGGTTTTCACTCTGGGTTCTCCCCACTCCTTTTTTTGTTAATGGTTCATTTCAGTTCTCTGCTTCCCAGCGGAGGAAGTTACAGATTAGGTTAGCTAATCCTTATTTATTTCCTTACCCTTTTTGGGGTACATTAGAACAAACAGTACCTCTGCGTGTGAAGCAGTGGCTGCCGTGTGTACCTTTGGAAACCTCTGTGCAGTAGAAAACTAGTAGATTTTTGGTGGCTTTAATGCTCAGGCATTAAAAACCTTTGTGAGGCCAATCAATATGTTCCCACTCTCCTGGTAGAGAAGCCAGAGTAGGGACAAATACTTTTCTTTTTCAAAGCAGGTTCAACATGAGGTTTTCAAGTAGTATTTTCTTTAATCTTTAACAATCCTGATAGGTTGATGAGTCCTTGGGCTTTTTAATTTCCTTATTAAAGCACTGTTGGAAATTCGCATGTTGAAATGCACATGGCTAGTAGAAACGCACTGACCCCCGGCATCCCAGCCTTGGTAGCTCATGGACAGACACTAACTGCCCATCAGTGTCCTTCATCCAGCCCACCCTTGTCCTGTCTTTGTACAGCATAGATGCCAGGAAAGCTGCTCTATTTTTGTATGAAATATAAAATGAACTCCCACAGGAGGAACGCTGGCCCCAGACTATTTTGCGGCATGTGTCCTTTGTCAGCTAGAAGTGCATTTTATTTATTTTATTTGAAGACACGATGCAAACCGCAGTCATGACTTTTTAAAGGACTGTGTGACAAAAAGATGGCATCTTGTACGGTGTTCATGTGACTCACACAGCTCAGTTTTTGACCAGGCCTACTTTCTGAAGTGGAAACCACACTGGACTGCCATTCAGGTCCAATGGGGAAAGTTCAGCTATCCACCAGCAGTCTTCAGAAGCATCCCTAGTGCTCGTTGTCTTGCTCTGCAGCGCAGTGAAATGTCAGTCACCAGTGGCCTCCCGACATGGGAGCCGTGCAGTTTCCCCAGGTCACCCTGCTTAAATAGTTAGCATGTGGGAACAAGTGGTGGAAACTGTCCACTTGCATTGAACATCTGTAGAAGACAGTTAGTGAAGGTGAAATGCTGCCTGTATGTTCATACATCCTTTTGTTCCAATTGCAGAAAGGAGACGAACTGGAAGAAGGAGTGACCAGTGAAGGTAAGCAGAGATGCCTGTGGCTATGAGCCATTCCCAGGTTAGTGTGCAGACTGAATTATCTGCTTTGATCCCTGCTGAGATGCTGACTTCTCCCAGCCTGATGTTCCCCAGCAAATGCTTCTGCACTCAGAAAGGCAGGAGGAGAGCATTTTAGAGCAAGAAGTTAGTATTTATGGTGTGAGGAGCGCTCCTGGCTGTAAGTGCTTTCCTGCCATCCTCCTTGGCTGTGCGCTGTGTTTGTGCCAGCA